CTCATCTTTCTCCCGCGGAGCAGCTGGTAGTTTCGAACTGCTGACCTTGCAGTTCCCAGCCCGATTCGTAACCACTACGCTACCAGAGCTCCTTAACTTAGACAATGGCTACCCAAAATGGGGAGACTACAAAGGCATGAAGTGACTGGCTTACAAGCTTTCAAGAGGGAGTCTAGTTTCAGAGGGTACTGGGGAAGGCAGAATCTCCACTGAGTGGTTTCCAAATGTCTGGACAGGGCTGGTGAAAGGAGATGGGGGATAAGACTTTTTTTTTTTTTTTTAGTTTTATTGTAAATTATGTGTTACTTTACATGGGTGAACATTATCTTTACATTCATCCTATTATATTTTATTTCATTGCAATGCTCACAATCCCCTGCATGCATCATCAGACACCCAAAGGGTATACTCCACACGCCTGCCTCCTGGCCGCCAGCCCACACCCCTCTCCCTCCCTGAGTCCAGAGTCCCCAGCCACTCCTTCTGTCCAAGTCATTGCCTCTGCCTCCATCCCTAGTGTCATTGCCTTTCCGGACACGGTCTTGCACTTTGTTTTTCTCCCTTGATGGTTCCAGGGATCTCAGCTCCTGGACTGCAAAATCAGCCGCTCCCCACCTCCTGCCACCAAACATTTACATTTACCTTTCCAACACTCACTGTCAGACCTGATAGCAATAATTTCCTGTTGAACCACAGAAGACCTTTACCCCTCACCTTTTATCAACCCCATCCAGACAGGTTGGAAACAATTCAGTGGAGGTTCTTCCTTTCCCTGTATCCTCTGGAGCTAGGTTCCCTATTGAAAGCTTGTAAGCCAGTCACTTCTTGCCTTTGTAGTACCCCCGTTTTGGGTAGCCAATGTCTAAGTTCCCCATCCCTGTCGACCCTGTGCACCAAGGGGGTGGGAATGAGCCTCACTGTAGAGATTTGTCCGCTCCTTTGTCATACTGCATCCACAAGCATAGGTCAAGTTCACTCACTTGTAGTGGGTTACTTTCTTTTTTTTCCTTCTTCTTTCTTCCTCTAGTTGTGTTCTGATCATCCAGCCATTTATGCCAGGTCAAATGGGTACAATCTGCAAGTGTGGGTGTTCTTGTGCATCCTCCCTCACTTTATATCAGCTAGATGCTTCACACTCAGTTCTAGTCCTCTAGGGCCATGTCCCTGCTCCTGGGCCCAGGAGTCCCCACGTCTTGTCATACTGCTGGTTAACCAGGTCTCAGTCCAGGTTAACAGGAGTCTATTGAATGTGGTTGGACTTAGTTCACAACTTCATTGCTGTTTTTCCCCCTCTTCCCCTTATCGGTGACCAACATGGTCAGCAGCAGGACCATATGCCTGCAGTGTATTCCACTGGAGTTTCAGTCTTGGAAGGGGGTTTGCCTTGCGGGAACCTGACCACTTGCCTTGAAGCCTCCCTGGGGAACAACTTGCTTGTTCTTGTAGTAGTTCATTGGACTGCTGTTAATTTTTTTTTTTTTTCTGCTGGTTTTTCTCTCAAGAAGTATCTTCTGTTCTTCTAGCTGCTCCAGACTGGTCTGCTTGTCCTTTAACATGGGAGTGCCTAACCTCAGAAGATTGAGGATGAGCATCAGGAGCCCACCTGTGGCCTTGTGAAATGCAAAGGCTCTGCAGGGAGCCTCCTCACTGGGCAAGTTCTAGCCCCATTTTATTCCAAACAGTTATAGGCTGAAGACAGACTTACAGGCTTTCTCTGGTGCTGTTTCTGACTATTCCTCTCTCTCTCCTTCAAGTGTCTATTTTACAAGAGTAGGCAAGGGAAACCAAGATTCAACAGACAGCCAAGCATCTTAACATCATTTCCCCACTTGCATCCATTTAAACTATGCTTCAATCTTTGTATCCATGAGCCCTGTTGTTCTACATTTGTGCTTAGATCATTTTTTACCTCTGTCCCATTTAGCCCACGTAAACCTGCCTAGGTATTCTCCCATCCGCCTTATTTTTCCTTTCCCCTTCTCGTTCTAGTGTATTGTGCCCCTGCCGCCGCCCCCCCCGCCACCAAGCTATCCTGTACCTATTCCCTACCCTGTGTTCCACTGTCCTGTGTCTATTCCATAGCCTGTATTCCACTATCCTGTGCCTATTCCCTACCCTGTATTCCACTATCCTGTGCCTATTCCCTACCCTGTGCTCCACCTTCCCCTCCCTCCCCTCATACACCTGGTAACCAACAAAATATAAAACAAAAGATAAAATTATTTCCACCCCCTTTTAGTGTGGGTGCTTTTTCATAATCTGTTACAATAATGGATCTATGCCGTATTTCTCCTTTTGTGACTGAACT